ACCACTGTGCCAGTTACATTTCCACCATCAAGACAATGTATGTAAATAGGTAAATTTGTAGGTTCAATGATTATCTATTAGACTCGCGTAAGAACCACACCACATTGATCAGATTTCATGAAGATTATTATACGTCAGTACCTGTACAGCATGTACAGCTTTACTATAGTTCAAGGTGACATTATCCTTAGCTTTTGCAACGGGTAAACTAATGATGCGAATATTTTGTTCTTTGCAAAAATCCACGAGTGCTTGTTCGGGGGCACCGGGAATCATTGATAGGATAGTTTTTAGCTTTAACCTTTTTCATAATGGCGTTTCATCAGAAGTTAAACAAACATATGGATAAACAATTTTTTCAACAATTTATACCTTTTAAGAAACCGGAAATTGAGATTCTTTGGCTGAGAACCGCGATAAACTTCGTCTTCAACGATAGCATAGCGGAAAGGAGGAATTAGTGGTGGAAGCATATCGATATCAATGAAAATATTATTGTTGCACTAAGGTGACGTAAAACTCGAGAGCTGCCAAATTTCGGTGTCGATAACGCGACTTGTATAAAAATTCAACTTGTGACTTTGAACTTAACAAATGTCTTCCATTTGGCGTTGCTTACAGATCGCTCCTGAAGAGCTTAGGCTAGAAACTACACTAAAATGTGGACAATCCTTCCGCTGGAAAGTTTCGGGAGAAAATGAATGGTATTGACGTAGGCATAATGAACGAATTTTTCGCGCTATCGACGCGAGATATCCCTGTTCTATTGGAGAAATATATAAATATCGAAAAGATTATTCTGAAATATATATTGCAATTGGTTTGTTTTTAAGGTCGTGTGCTTTCAAGGGTCGTCTTATAACCTTGAGACAAACATGTAAGAGATTTTCAGTTGAACTGCGCGTTGATTTGTGATTTATGTTAAAAGTCTAAGTTTTAGTTGTTCTACAGCATCAAATATATTCTTTAGAACTTATCCTACAATTTCGTCTTCAACATCATCGCAACCAGAACAAACAACTCGGCAGATAGAAAAAGATTTGGATAGTGTGTATAAATTTCTCTACGATTATTTTCAATTAAATTTAAATCTGAGTGAATGCTACGCTCGCTGGAGTGCTGCCGATCCAAACTTTGCCAAGGTGGCGCAACAGTTTCAGGGAATTCGAATATTGAGACAAGATCCGGTTGAGAATTTGATTTGTTTTATCTGTTCCTCTAATAATAATATCAGCAGGATTTCGCAGATGGTTTGCAATGATATTATATTTTGGTACATCCCTTGTATATTGGTAATTATTGTTATAGTAAAATTTTTTAGGTTGAGAAATTATGTCGTAAGTACGGTAAAAAGATATATGCGCTCAACAACGAAGATTATTACGATTTCCCCACTCTTGAGAAACTGGCGGGATCGAACGTAGAAGAAGAATTGAAGAAACTAGGATTTGGTTATCGTGCAAAATACATAAGTCAAACAGTCCATTATATATTCAATAATATATCTGATGGAGAGAAATGGTTATTCTCGTTACGAAATGCAAGTTATAGGGATGCACACTCGTCGCTTTTGCAATTATCTGGCGTAAGTTTGGGAGTTGAATATGATGATGTTGGATAGCACTCAAGTTTATATCTGATCTTCGTCCCTGTTTCCTTATCTTGTAGGTTGGGCCTAAAGTTGCAGATTGCGTTGTGAGTTAATTATAGAGAAAGAGAGTGACTAGTGACATTTTTTATCCGATATTTATTTTTTGATTGTATTCAAATTGAATCATGTAGTGCTTGATGTCTCTCGATAAACAGGATGCCATACCTGTAGACACTCACGTCTGGCAAATTGCAAAGCGTGAATATGGGTTTGATAGTAAACCGGGAAAATCACCAAAAACTTTAACTAATCGAATGTATGAAGAAATTGGTGACCATTTTCGTACTTTATTTGGAAATTATAGTGGTTGGGCACATTCCGTGAGTAGAATCTCTTCCTTCATGTCTTTTGTCCCTTTAAATAAAATTTATTGAATAAGCTCTGGTAGGTCTTATTTGCGGCAGATTTAAAAGTTTTCGAAAGTCGACGTGAAGATGTATCGGTGAATGATAGCAAGTCGGAGGATGCTGGATCAATACCGTTGGATAAGACATTTTCATCAACTAAAAAGACCTTGATCTCGGTCAAACAGAAAAATAAAGATTTGCTGATAGAACCTGTAAAAAAGAAAATTCGCAAAAATTCAACTTAATTTTTTGTTTATAAGATCATACATAATGGAATTTCTATTTACAAACAGTTTCGTTATATCGATATCGAAATTGAGTCACACTTTGCATTATATCTTTTGTGCATGAGTCACGTTTGACCAAAATTTGACATTTTTTCATACAATCGAACCTCAATAATAAACTAAAATACAAATGACTTCAATTTCCAGTTCAGGAAACAACATAAAAATTCAATGTATTGCAATAATAGGAAAACAGGTAAGGAATTATGAGAATTATAAAACTATTTTTTCTTTTGCAAATGCAATTTATTTGTAAGGTCCCATTATCCTGTAATTTTCTTTCATTTAATTATTACCTATCACAAATTTATTATCATAAATAAAACAATTGATACAATAAAATAAAGAACAATCCATTATACATACGAAACTTCAGCACAACACATCCAGATTTGAAGTATCATTACATTGCGCATACTTCATGTGATGTTATCGAGGAACGAGGTGAATAAAAATGAAACATTGAGCGAATTAATTAATGATTTTTTTTTTTCTGAAGAATATTATCTTAATAATCTAATCATCAAAAAGTGACTTCTGGGCCGAAAACCACAGACGCTTATCTCGGTCTTTTATACGCAATGGAAGATCTAGCTGTGTGAGTTTACTATGTTTGACTTTTTTTTTGATTTCCAGCCTCAATCAAATAACATTAAAAACCAAAATTTAATTAGATATGGTTACTTGACTAATACACGAGTGAAATTTGTAATTGTGTTAGCAGTTCCAGATACCATAATCAAAGACAGTGACATGAAAAGCGTATGGGTTTTTTCTATTATTTTTTCATTTATCCTCTTACGAAATCCTTCATTCATTCATTTATTCTTTACCATTTAATATTTCTGTTCAGATTTTTTATAAAATACATAACGCATACATCAACCAAGTATGCAATCCTTTTTATAATCTTGATGGTTCAAAATCTATTGTAAGTAAGAGGTTTATAAATGTGATAGATGCTATAGGAAAAAGTAACGATAATTCAATACCAGAGTGACAAGATTAGGTTTGTGATCACTTTGATTTTTTGTTATTTTCATGTTTATGTTTGTATTTTATAGATTTTTCGAATGATATAACATTTATGTAATGGCTTGTCCTCGAA